CAACACCCAGACCACTACCACCAACACCCAGAACCACTAGCACCAACACCCAGACCACTACCACCACCATCCAGACCACTACCACCAACACCCAGACCACTACCACCAACATCCAGACCACTACCACCAACACCCAGACCATTACCACCAACACCCAGACCACTACCACCAACACCCAGAACCACTACACCAACACCCAGACCACTACCACCAACACCCATACCACTACCACCAACACCCAGACCACTACCACCAACACCCAGACCACTACCACCAACACCCAGACCACTACCACCAACACCCAGACCACTACCACCAACACCCATACCACTACCACCAACACCCATACCACTACCACCAACACCCAGACCACTACCACCAACACCCAGACCACTACCACCAACACCCAGACCACTACCACCAACATCCAGACCACTACCACCAACACCCAGAACCACTACCACCAACACCCAGACCACTACCACCACCATCCAGACCACTACCACCAACACCCAGACCACTACCACCAACACCCAGACCACTACCACCAACACCCAGAACCACTACCACCAACACCCAGACCACTACCACCACCATCCAGACCACTACCACCAACACCCAGACCACGACCACCAACACCCAGACCACTTCCACCAACACCCAGACCACTACCACCAACACCCATACCACTACCACCAACACCCATACCACTACCACCAACACCCAGACCACTACCACCAACACCCAGACCACTACCACCAACACCCAGACCACTACCACGAACATCCAGACCACTACCACCAACACCCAGAACCACTACCACCAACACCCAGACCACTACCACCACCAACCAGACCACTAACACCAACACCCAGACCACTACCACCAACACCCAGACCACTACCACCAACACCCAGAACCACTACCACCAACACCCAGACCACTACCACCACCATCCAGACCACTACCACCAACACCCAGACCACTACCACCAACATCCAGACCACTACCACCAACACCCAGACCACTACCACCAACACCCAGACCACTACCACCAACACCCAGACCACTACCACAAACACCCAGACCACCAACACCCAAACCACTACCACCAACACCCAGACCACTACCATCAACACCCAGACCACAACCACCAACACCCAGACCACTACCACCAACACCCAGAACCACTACCACCAACACCCAGAGCACTACCACCAACACCCAGACCACTACCACCAACACCCAGACCACTACCACCAACACCCAGACCACTACCACCAACACCCAGAACCACTACCACCAACACCCAGACACTACTACTAACACCCAGACCACTACCACCAACACCCAGACCACTACCACCAACACCCAGACCACTACCACTAACACCCAGACCACTACCACTTCCACGTCCACCCAGACCACTACCATCAATACCCAGACCACTACCACCACCACCCAGACCGCTACCACAAACACCCAGACCACTACCACCAACATCCAGACCACTACCACCAACACCCAGACCACTACCACCAACACCCAGACCACTACCACCAACACCCAGACCACTACCACCTACACCCAGACCACTACCACCAACACCCAGACCACTACCACCAACACCCAGACCACTACCATCAACACCCAGACCACTACCACCAACACCCAGACCACTACCACCAACACCCAGACCACTACCACCAACACCCAGACCACTACCACCAACACCCAGACCACTACGATCAACACCCAGAACCACTACCACCAACACCCAGAGCACTACCACCAACACCCAGACCACTAGCACCAACACCCAGACCACTACCACCAACACCCAGACCACTACCATCAACACCCAGAACCACTACCACCAACACCCAGAGCACTACCACCAACACCCAGACCACTACCACCAACACCCAGACCACTACCACCAACACCCAGACCACTACCACCAACACCCAGTCCACTACCACTACCACCTCCACGCAGACCACTACCACCACCACCCAGACCACTACCACCAACACCCAGACCACTACCACCAACACCCAGACCACTACCACCAACACCCAGACCACTACCACCAACACCCAGACCACTACCACCAACACCCAGACCACCAACACCCAGACCACTACCACCAACACCCAGAACCACTACCACCAACACCCAGACCACTACCACCAACACCCAGACCACTACCACCAACACCCAGACCACTACCACAAACACCCAGACCACCAACACTCAGACCACTACCACCAACACCCAGAACCACTACCACCAACACCCAGACCACTACCACCAACACCCAGACCACTACCACCAACATCCAGACCACTAGCACCAACACCCAGACCACTACCACCAACACCCAGACCACTACCACCAACATCCAGACCACTAGCACCAACACCCAGACCACTACCACCAACACCCAGACCACTACCACCAACACCCAGAACCACTACCACCAACACCCAGACCACTACTACCAACACCCAGACCACTACCACAAACACCCAGAACCACTACCACCAACACCTAGACCACTACCACCAACACCCAGACCACTACCACCAACACCCAGACCACTACCACCAACACCCAGACCACTACCACCAACACCCAGAACCACTACCACCAACACCCAGACCACTACCACCAACACCCAGACCACTACCATCAACACCCAGAACCACTACCACCAACACCCAGACCACTACCACAAACACCCAGAACCACGACCACCAACACCCAGACCACTACCACCAACACCCAGAACCACTACCACCAACACCCAGACCACTACCACCAACACCCAGACCACTACCACCAACATCCAGACCACTACCACCAACACCCAGAACCACTACCACCAACACCCAGACCACTACCACCACCATACAGACCACTACCACCAACACCCATACCACTACCACCAACACCCAGACCACTACCACCAACACCCATACCACTACCACCAACACCCAGACCACTACCACCAACACCCAGACCACTACCACCAACACCCAGACCACTACCACCAACATCCAGACCACTACCACCAACACCCAGAACCACTACCACCAACACCCAGACGACTACCACCACCATCCAGACCACTACCACCAACACCCAGACCACGACCACCAACACCCAGACCACTACCACCAACACCCAGACCACTACCACCAACACCCATACCACTACCACCAACACCCATACCACTACCACCAACACCCAGACCACTACCACCAACACCCAGACCACTACCACCAACACCCAGACCACTACCACCAACATCCAGACCACTACCACCAACACCCAGAACCACTACCACCAACACCCAGACCACTACCACCACCATCCAGACCACTACCACCAACACCCAGACCACTACCACCAACACCCAGACCACTACCACCAACACCCAGAACCACTACCACCAACACCCAGACCACTACCACCACCATCCAGACCACTACCACCAACACCCAGACCACGACCACCAACACCCAGACCACTACCACCAACACCCAGACCACTACCACCAACACCCATACCACTACCACCAACACCCATACCACTACCACCAACACCCAGACCACTACCACCAACACCCAGACCACCAACACCCAGACCACTACCACGAACATCCAGACCACTACCACCAACACCCAGAACCACTACCACCAACACCCAGACCACTACCACCACCATCCAGACCACTACCACCAACACCCAGACCACTACCACCAACACCCAGACCACTACCACCAACACCCAGAACCACTACCACCAACACCCAGACCACTACCACCACCATCCAGACCACTACCACCAACACCCAGACCACTACCACCAACATCCAGACCACTACCACCAACACCCAGACCACTACCCCCAACACCCAGACCACTACCACCAACACCCAGAACCACTACCACCAACACCCAGACCACTACCACCAACACCCATACCACTACCACCAACACCCAGACCACTACCACCAACACCCAGACCACGACCACCAACACCCAGACCACTACCACCAACACCCAGACCACTACCACCAACACCCATACCACTACCACCAACACCCATACCACTACCACCAACACCCAGACCACTACCACCAACACCCAGACCACTACCACCAACACCCAGACCACTACCACCAACATCCAGACCACTACCACCAACACCCAGAACCACTACCACCAACACCCAGACCACTACCACCACCATCCAGACCACTACCACCAACACCCAGACCACTACCACCAACACCCAGACCACTACCACCAACACCCAGAACCACTACCACCAACACCCAGACCACTACCACCACCATCCAGACCACTACCACCAACACCCAGACCACGACCACCAACACCCAGACCACTTCCACCAACACCCAGACCACTACCACCAACACCCATACCACTACCACCAACACCCATACCACTACCACCAACACCCAGACCACTACCACCAACACCCAGACCACTACCACCAACACCCAGACCACTACCACGAACATCCAGACCACTACCACCAACACCCAGAACCACTACCACCAACACCCAGACCACTACCACCACCATCCAGACCACTACCACCAACACCCAGACCACTACCACCAACACCCAGACCACTACCACCAACACCCAGAACCACTACCACCAACACCCAGACCACTACCACCACCATCCAGACCACTACCACCAACACCCAGACCACTACCACCAACATCCAGACCACTACCACCAACACCCAGACCACTACCACCAACACCCAGACCACTACCACCAACACCCAGAACCACTACCACCAACACCCAGACCACTACCACCAACACCCATACCACTACCACCAACACCCAGACCACTACCACCAACACCCAGACCACTACCACCAACACCCAGACCACTACCACCTACACCCAGACCACTACCACCACCACCACCACGACCCTGTCCACTCACCCCACATCTGTTTGAGCAGCAGCCGTCCCGAGACCCGGCTCCGATAAGCTGCATGGCCGGCACGATAATCTACAGGGCCGCTCCCATCACAGCAGTGCAGGGGCACGTCAGAGGCAACTCATGGGGTTATAAACATCATCATCGTCACCATCATCACCATCAGTGTAATCAGCATCATCAAGGGCAACCTTCATAAATAACACGACAAACACCATCATCACGAGCAGTGTGGAATTCGTTGATGCCAGGACACACCAACGCCACCACCACAGCCACTTCAAACAAATTCAACATTCATGAATACTACAACCACCTCTACCACCACAACAATCATCACCACCACAACCACCAAAACCATCATAACCACCACAACCACCACATCTATCACCACCTCCATGAGATGACCGCGTGGGTGAATTCCGCTCCGCCTGGATTGCAAGTCCCGTGTGCTCACCATCATACTCACCACCATGCTCACCATCATACTCACGACCGTGCTCACCATCGCACTCACCATCTCACCAGCGAGCTCACCATCTCGCCAGCGTGCTCACCATCTCACCAGTGTGCTCACTATCTCACCAGTGCTCACCATCTCACCAGGGTGCTCACCATCTCACCAGCGAGCTTACCATCTCACCAGCCAACTCACCGTCTCAAAAGCGCTCACCATTTAACCAGGGTGCTCACCATCTCACCAGCGAGTTCACTATCTCACCAGCGTGCTCACCACCTCGCCAGCGTGCTCACCATCTGACCAGCGAGCTCACCAACTCACCAACGTGCTCACCATCTCAACAGCGAGCTCACCATCTCACCAGCGTGCTCACCATCTCACCAGCGAGCTCACCATCTCACAAGGGTGCTCACCATCTCACCAGGGTGCTCACCATCTCACCAACGTGCTCACCATCTCACCGGCGTGCTCACCATCTCACCGGCGTGCTCACCATCTCACCAGCGTGTTCACCATCTCAAAAACGAGCTCACCATCTCACCAGCGTGCTCACCATCTCACCAGCGAGCTCACCAACTCACCAGCGTGCTCACCATCTCACCAGCGTTCTCACCATCTCACCAGCGTGCTCACCATCTCACCAGGGTGCTCACCATCTCACCAGCGAGCTCACCAACTCACCAGCGTGCTCACCATCTCACCAGCGAGCTCACCATCTCGCCAGCTTGCTCACCATCTCACCAGGGTGCTCACCATCTCACCAACGAGCTCACCAACTCACCAGCGTGCTCACCATCTCACCAGCGAGCTCACCATCTCACCAGGGTGCTCACCATCTCACCAGCGAGCTCACCATCTCACCAGCGAGCTCAACATCTCGCCAGCGTGCTCACCATCTCACCAGCGTGCTCACCATTTTACCAGGGTGCTCACCATCTCACCATCGAGCTCACCAACTCACCAGCGTGCTCACCATCTCACCAGCGTGCTCACCATCTCAAAAACGAGCTCACCATCTCAACAGCGAGCTCACCATCTCACCAGCGAGCTCACCAACTCA